GGGTTTGGTCAGGGCTTGATTTTCTGTGGAGTTCTCCCTTTCCCAAATGCTCTATGAATTAGTAATGCCGGTGATTGAGAGGTGATACTCTTCTTCCTCGTTAGCCTTTCAGCCCTGAGCCAGGTGGGGCATTCTGAGGGCAGTGCAAAGCTGTGCTATCTCAACAATCAGAAACCAGCACAGATTGTACAGCCCCTTTTTCCACGAGCAATAGTTTTTGGCCTTGCATGCTGGTTTGAAATTTGTTGTGGGCAACTACTACTGTCTACTGACTTAGGATTACTTCAGTACCCGTTTCTGGTACTGTTTTTAAGACACTGGCTTCAAAATGCATGCAATAAGAAAACAAACTGCAAGTCTGCTGACTACATTAACTTACTGTGAACAGTGTGAGACTAATTTTTCACTACCAGTTCTGACTGTGAATAGTAGCTGTATGCCACTAGGATTCCTGCTGCAATTAAAGAGCTTCCTGTAGAAGTTAGATATTGCAGACAGTAGCAAGAGCTGATCCTTAAAAAGTCAGTTTTCAAAGACTCACAGGAAAGAATCTGTACAATGTAATTATTTAGTCTTTAACTGTAGCAGTTTCAGAAGTCAAGCAAACCTGTAGCAACATCCAGAACATTACATTGCATAACTTGAAGTCAAGCTACAGCTCTCTGCAAGTATTTTGTATACCAGGCTGAAGCTCCCAGCCCTTCTTCTCACAGTAGCTCCTGATGTTGAACCTGTGTCACTGCTAGTAGGTCTATCTTCTGCTGTATAATTCCTCTTTTTAAAGATCCAGAAATAAAAGTACAGTAATACAAATTGTTTCCTGCACTGATTGGATCCTTACTCCTGTTTTATAAGTTGTTCAAAATCAAGGCTGCATCAGTGAAAAAACTAGATGTTTAGTGATACCAGGAAGCAATTTTAAGTTTTGGCATTAGTCAATATGCAGCAGAATGTAAACAGACCTTCTATTCATAAAAGTACAATTAAATCAGAAGACATAAAAAAGGCTGGTTAAAGATTTGTAAAGCCAGACGTCGCTGGTAAGCTTTTAAGTAATGTGAGAACAAGCCCTTTACAGTACGTGTTAGTGCAAACTGAAAATATTTTTCAGTAGGTTTAAACAACATTTTTTCTCCCCATTTTAAATGTTGGTGTGGTTAAAAGCTATACTTGTAGCTCAGGCCTTGAAGGCATAGCACAGGAATAGAGTGGAAGATGTATAAGGACTAGGACAGAATGACTTCTACAGCAGTTGGAGGCATTACTGAAGCTTTCTCCTTTTTACTGACTATATGAGGGGAGCTTGATCAGAACTGCTGCTTGGCTCAATCTGTTTATCTTTCATCCTTGATGGCACTGGTCTGGTTGTTGTAGTATTGCCTGGAAAATGTATTTTTCTGAAATGAGTTTTCTGTACAAAACGTAAGGAGAGAAGACAGATTTTATACTCGCCCTGTACAAAACCTAAAAGGAAATACAGAAAAAAATCCACTATTATTTATGGGTTTTGGAAGTTACCAACTGTTTATACAGAATTGCACTATGGTAGTTTTGGCAGAAATCTTATTTTTGTAGAACTCAGATTTTTAACAATAATGACTATTAGTGAAGTGCATTTCAGAGAGTGTCATCTCTCAGGCAAGATGAGTTTTAGTAAATGACAATACTCAGTGCTTGTGTTAGGTTTGAACAACAAAGACAGCAAAGTGTTATCATGACTATCAAAAGATACAGTAAATCCTCTATGAAGAATATAACAATAGCCTGTTATCAAGTGTGGTAGTTTCTGTACTGAACAGATCAGAAACATACACGAAGAATGCTAGTTTAAGGCTCTATAACATGTTAATGCAAGCAGTGCATTAGAGAATGCTTAGTCAAAAATAAAGTTAAGACCTACACCATACAGAGTATCACCATGTACTTTTTTCTTCCATGCAATGTAATAATGTGAATATGAATATTAACTCTTATTCAGTAGGGAGATCAACTTCACAAGGTAAAAGGCAGCATCTCACACTATAAAGTCAAAATGTCCTAAACTGTTGTCCTGCTGCATTCAGTCTTGCTGTTTGTCCTTTATCATATGTAGAGTGCATGTTTCTGCAACAAATTACAGCAGTTTAATAGCACAGAACATTTTCCTATTGCACAGCTGGGAGCCAAAAACAGTTCTGTAACATACTCACCATGGATTGTCTTCCTAACCAGTTAAAACTGTTGAAGTCCACTGGTGCTGGAACTGAACATACTGTGTTTATTTTTCTGCCCTCGGAGGCACCACTGGAATCCACCTTCCCTGTTAGAACATGAGGCTCAGGATGAAGTTGCTCAGTGCCTGTGACATAGACTGTTTATTGTTGCATGAATTTTTTAATAATATTTTGTCACATTACATAGAGAAAAAAATCAAGCTGTTTTTTAAGCTAATTGAGATGGACAATAGCTGCAGTTTCCCTCTCTTTCCTAGTGCCAGGCAGAGCATTTGCATATATATTTGGGTGTCATTATTTTTGGACCGTCCAAGGCAGGGTGAAACCTGGGTTGAAGACAGTGATCCATCAGTCAACAACACATCCTTCTGTGAGGGCCTGATAAATAGTGGTACCACTCAGTGGCAGAATTTTTTCCTTGCTCCTATTTCATTATCACAAGGAGGGAAACACACTGTATTGCTCTTTATGTTACGTGGGTGTTCTCAGTATTGACAGTGAGAAAAATGAAGAATTCATGAGAGAAGGCTGAAGATTAAACACATGTGTCTGTGTGTCTCTGTGTGTGTGTACGCATACACATGTATACATCTGTGTTCTTACATATAAAATGCTACATGGGCATTTTCTTTTTTTAATATGAGCCTTGGGGCTTGTTCTCACTGTAACGATAGCTTGACTAATCTACACTTGGGTAAAGCTCCTCTCAAGTTAGCCTTACTTGAATGAGAGAAGTTGTGCTTCAAAGTAGTGGTATTTGGATAAGCAGCAAAGAAGTTCAGTCTTGTCTCATTACCAGCTCCAGAGCTGGCTGTGTCATGTTTTCATCCACACAAAAAACATGGAGAAAAGGTGCAAGAGAATGCAGATGATGAAAGAGAAAGGCTCTTATTTCTTAGGAAGTGAAGATGAATAAGGTTGCTGAGAGGCCTGCAACATCCTGGTGAAAGATAAGAGAGGAAAAAGTAATGGATATGGAGAGAAGCTGTTGAAAATGAGAGGGAGAGGAATGTGAAAGGAAGTGAAGAAAAAAGAGAGGGAGACCTGCAGAGCTAATGGAAATAAAGACATGCAGGGGTATCGTATGAGGTGGCATGCAGGTATACAGTATGAAGTGATGTTGACTGGAAGATAATAAGATGATAGCATTGGCGTAACTTCATTCAGGATGATCCCACAGACCTACGGTGCTCTGCACGCCCACTGCACTTGCTCCTGGGATGGTTTTTCAGCTGGGGAACACTGACATTTGCTTATAGGTGTAACAGAGATGTCAGGAAAAGTACTGAGTTGGATGCATTCACATTCTTTCAGCTTGAGCTGTCAGGTGCATTGTTTATACCTGCACTGGTAAATAATATCAGGGGTGCTGGGTGAGGTGGCTCTGTGTGCCTAGTAAGACTGCCAGTAAGCAGTGAAAAACCGCACTTTTTGCCTCTGCCTTCCTTGTTTCACCCTGAAAAGTAAGTAGAGATTTCTCCAGATATACCAAGGACAGATCTCTTAAGTGACGTGTACTGATTTTACAGTCACTTTTCTGATTACAGTGGCAGTGTTTTCTGAAATTACTTGAAGATGAAAGCAGTAATTGCCAAAGGAAATCTAAAGAGAATAGTACTGAACCACTGTTTTCCAAATCAGTAAATATTCCAGTAGGTGCATTTTTTATTTGTTTGTTTTGTTAGTTAAGACATTTAGAGTGCATTTACTCATTCAAACATTCGGAACAGAAAATTGACAGTGTATTTCCAAAGAAAAAAGCTGTGATAATTCAGAAAAGAGATTAGAGAAAACACAGTAAGAAATTCTTAGTGCACATCTCACATCATCTCACGTGAAAGTGAATAAAAAAGTAATACTGTTGGAGCAGCAATGTGCACCAAGTATAGATCTAAATATTTCTGTTGGTGAATGGTTGGCGTTCCTATGTTCAAGGGCTTTGATGTCATGTAATCTCAAATTCAGTCGACTCAGTTTATGCAGTGATTATTGATATGAGACTTCCACAGAAACCTGGGTTTCTCAGCTTCCTTTTTATAAGGTTATCTAGTTACATGACTGAGATGAGTCTTGATTATCAGCTGTTGTTTCACTGCAGTACTCCAAGTTGTGCCTGAATTTCACAGCAGAGAAAGCATATCAAACACATTTATCTTAGAACAAGTAAACATAAGCCAAAACAATAACATATGGTTTCTTAAACATGGGTTTCTAGATATATAATTCAGCATGTGTATAAAAAAACCACTGAATAGCTCAGCTATTTTGCCCAGTTCCTGCTTCTACTGGAAGTAATAGTAAAACCCTCATCAGGTTCAGAGGTGATGATTTGGTAACGGAGGTGGTAGTGTAAAGTCACTATCAGCAGGGTAAGAATTAAGCAAAAATCTATTTAGTAGAAATGTGTGCAAGGACAGGATATGGTGAAATTGCTTAGTCCAGCTGATACAGTTCTTAGTTCAATACTGACTTAAAAATTGAAGATACTAACAAAAGGAACTAGTTTTTAGACATTTTCTGGATGGTTAGCTAGGAACTCAGTGTATTGCTTGTTAGTTTTCATACATGTATTAAAAAATTGCTTTCTCACAACTCCTCAAGATTTTTTGCACCTCTGCCTGAATTTCAGCCATCACTAGATCCTGTGATCAGCTTTTGATGTACTTTGGTCTGTGTATTATAGATCTGGGACTCTGTTGATACTGTTGTTAGCTGATGTATAAACTTACCTATAGTTATTTATTAAACTTCTGGTTGTATTGATTATGGTATTGTGATCTTTTTCAGTGTACCTTGAGGACAGTTTCGTAAAATCTGGAGTGTTCAACGTGTCAGAACTTGTGAGGGTGTCCAGAAGTAAGTTATCATTTGCGTTTACTCATTTCCAAAGCCTGCTATAATCAAGTGAAGGTTTTTTTCGTGAGTTTTTTTTTCTCCCCAAGATGTAAGATGCATAGTAAATGCCTGTAACCGTGCACAATTTTGATATCTTTGACCACAGTATTACAATTCATCCTGCATGTGTTTGCAATAAAACAGACAGAAGTCTTCTTTTATCTCTTCAATATTTAAAGATTGAAACAATTTGTTATGTGTCCCTTTGCACAACTTAATGGACTGATATATCAATAAAATTACCATATGTAACAAAACCATATATTTGTTAGACTTGCAGCTTTTTAAGGTTGTCCTACACATCCTTGGGTTTTGCTAAACCATCTGACTATTCTTCTAGTTTTTTTTTTAATTTGTAGCTCTTAAAAGAAAAATCACAGCATGGATATAAAAGATATTATACTTAATGTATACTTAATGTATTATATGCTTGTGTTTCTTTTACTCATAGAACTGGCTGTTACTGAATTTCTAATTAAATTGTCTTGTTTTGGCATCAGAAATGTTATGCACAGGAACATGCAAAAAAAAAAAAAGTAACATAAAATATAAATGATAAAGGATAGGTGAAGCTTTTATTGCCGAAAGAAAACCCCAAATGAATATATAAGATCTGTTTTGTTGACATCTAAGAATTTGCTATAATAGTATGACATAAAACCAGTGCATATTTTCTTCTGACATTGCTTTCTGAGTGCTTCTTTTCTCCCTTTAGTATTAATACTGTTAAAGTATTTCTCTTAAGACTTCATTAGGAAGTGAACAAAAAATCCAGGAAAATCTCTTTTCTGATGAGGTGAGGACAAAACCAGTGAGGCACAAGTTACCAAAACTGTCTGTCCAAATTTTGCATAGGAGTTAATTCATGCCAGGTCAGGATGCTTGAGGAATTTAATTAACTTAGTGAGGCTTAAGATGTATGTGTCATTTCATTTGCTGTGGTCAGAAATTAATATTCAACAATTAAAATTATATTAAGTCCTTCAGCAAAATACGGAGCATTGCCATCCTGCAGTGTTAAGACATATTCTTTTTTGTGCTTGCTGAAGATATGGTTTTGCTGTTTTAGGAGGCTGAGGATGTGTGAAATATAGCTTTCTTTTAGTTGTCAGGTGGTTAAATACATTTTAAATTATTGGGCCATTCAGTTTAAAAAAGAATCAATATTGTAGTTATGTTATGAAATCGTACTTTCTGCAGCTGCTATACACAATATACTTCTAATAATAAGCTTTAAAGAATGTGGTTTCTGTGGGATTTCTTACCATGCATTTGTTTAACCTCAAGCCGCAACAGAGTTGTACTTTAACTGTCAGGAAAAATACAAACCTTCAGATACATTACACAACATGCAATTATTCTTTTAAGTGCCAAAGGTAGTTAAAATGCACAACAGAAAGAGAGTGAACAAAGGTAAATACACCACAATATATAACATATAATTTATTCTTGAAATGCCAAGATGTACGGTACACAGACTCTGTAAGGAGGTGAAGATAACACTGAGTGTGTGTGTTTGTGTGTAGGTGTACATATGCAGAGCAGTACCTGTGGCACTGGGTGAAAGAAAAAGGAGGCAGCAAAACATGCAGTCAGCACAGAAGGCTATTATTAATACAAAAGAGTTAACATTACGGGAAAAAGAGTTTGTTTGCCCGCAAGTTTGTTCTTTCCAGTTATTTCAGTTCTTTAATAAATAATGTTGGCTGTCCTTATAAACCCTGCCTCATTCATTATAGAAGTCCTTCAACAGAAGTTTTGACTTTGTGCCGAGGTTTGTGTTACCTTTTTCATATTGATTCCAGGTTATCTGTTATACAACAAATACATTATTTCTACATAACTGCTAAGGGATTTCTAGGGACTGGGGAAGATAATTCACTTTTTTAGATACATAAACATTGATAGAACTTGTCTGTACTTGGTTTCTGCAAGAGGCAGAAAATTAGATACATGTAGTAACATCTTGATGTTTTTCCCAGTGTTAAAAATGAAAAGATGGCTAAAAAGATAGAAGATTATCATTGACTCGTTATGATGATGTTTTTTTCAGCACCCATAACCCAGGGAACTGGAGTGAACTTCCCAATTGGAGAGCTTCCGAGCCAGCCATATTATCATGATATGAATTCCGGTGTAAATCTACAGAGGTCCTTGTCCTCTCCACCAAGCAGGTAAAAACTCGAAATAAGTGCTAATGTGAAATTAGGTTTAATAGTGTAGGACAAGCAATTCACAAAAACAGTCAACAGCCAACTATTTTATGAATTTCCTCTGATTTTGTGAGGTAGGCTACTTACATATATTACCATAATCTATGTACAGATATACATGTTACAAATCTTGTAATTTGACGTGGTGTCATTATTGCCTGTCATTTCTGTTGGTATTGAAGATGATAATAACTTTTATCAAGGTTTAAAGTGCTCACTAAATCATCTGCCAAGAGAACAGCTATGCATCCTGGAACTGCTGCTGAGTTGCAGGAAGGTCTAGCAGCTGGGAACCTGCTGTCAGGGCTCAGTGCCACTGGGTGATTGCAGGCACAAAGGCTGTCTCTGAGGGCTCCCTGTTGGACCTCTGTCTTGAAAGATGTGTTGGGACAGATACTGTTTCCTGTGGAAAAGGCTTTAGGACAGGTATATAAAGACAAGGTGTCTTTATCTGTAGCATCACCCCAGCTCATGAAAGTGTGTTTCCTGCCTCACCCTTACAAGGGGCATTTCATAGCATGGTGGGAACAAGGAGGAGCATGTGAGGTGGTCACAGGCTCTCTAATTTTCTCAAGCGTCTCCATGTGCCTGCTACAGGCAGTTTGATCTGAGGGACCCACTTCTTCCTTGCTCGACATGCTCCCTTCTCCCAACTCTTACAAAGACCTAATTCCCTCCCTTAGGAGCAGCTGGTGGGCCCACAGAGGTGGAGAATCTGCTGTGCCCTCCTTTTGACTCCCAGAGAGTGTACTGTCTGTCCCACCTCTGAGGTCCCTTGGTTTTCTGAAACTGTCTGATGTACCATGAAATCATAAGCACTGTAGGATCTCTCATTGCCCCGTGTTTCTGCACCCTAGGGAGTCACGAAGTGTCAGCACAGTAGGACAGGATTTAACAGGACTGTCGGGGGGGCTGGGGTGCTCTTCCACCAGCACCTGGTGTTTCTGAGTTATTTTGTTCATACTCCCCTATTTCGTTCCATTGTATTGTCAGCTTGGCAGTTCACCTAGCACATTTTAGAAATGGATAGATTAATTGTCACAGTGTTGTCTAAAAAATGATGATGATGATAATTTAATAATAAAATAATACCACCACCACCATTAAAACCTTCATCCGGGTTTTCTTTGGCAGTCAGCATAACAGCTTCAGTATATATTGTTATAAAGAAACTTGACTTCGCTCCACTGCATTGAAGTGTTGCCTCATTTTATGTAGTGTGACTTGAAATATGGGGCTTTTGTTGTTTTTAATTAAACTAGGCTAAAATGAAAGGTCTTTGTTTCAGGTTAGACCTCTTTGAAAAGCTTAGGATTTTGACCTGGTGAAATACAGTAAACTACATTTTTTTCCTTATTAACACATTCAGAAAGGTTCCTGGTTTATCTTGACTTTATTAGTAATACTTTTCCAGTGCTTTGTTTTGCTTTCATGGTTTCTGCATAGTGTTTAACACTCTCATGACACAACCTTTCTTTGGTAGTTTACAGGAACTGGTTTCTTGATAGTTCAGCCAAATGCTGGTAGACTTTTATATATTACCTATTCATGCCATCTCTGAAATATTAAATCATGTGAAAAATGCAAGCACATACCTGCATTACATATTATTAAATAACTTTGTCTATGTAAGTTAATGTAAGCTCTAATATCCACTTATTTGTGCTTTGTATGCCTGAATTACTTTCTATTGAAATATTTGTTGAAATCCAAATGGTTTATACACCACTACTAGCTGCATATCATATTCACTGCCAAATCTTACGTTACTTCAACAGCAAAAGACCCAAAACTATCTCCATAGATGAAAATATGGAGCCAAGCCCAACAGGAGACTTTTATCCTTCTCCAAATTCACCAGCTGCGGGGAGTCGGACATGGCATGAAAGAGAGCAAGGTGAGTAACACATGACCATTTTACCTCAAAGTATATTCAGATATACAATAAATCTCTGCGTTAGCCTTTCCATTACTGCAATAAAATGGCTGCTTTTTAGAAGAATCATTATTTTTCTCTCTGGCATGTGTATTTGCTGGTTTTGTAAATGTAGTTAAAAACAACAGTCAACAGGATATGGTATAAACAACCACATAATAATTATTCCATCTGGTGACTGCCTTATCTATTGTTTGAAAAGATGTGTGGCAAGTGAGGTACTTGATATTGTGTATGCTGTGATCATCGCAGCAGGGTTTTGTGTATAATGGTTTCAGGTAAAAAACCCCACATCTCCATACTATGGTTGAGTGAACACTAGTTTACTCAGTTTTTGTTTTACTGTGACAGACTCCTGTATGTGTGTTTAGTCGATACTATGTGAGTCAGAATATGTTCAATATGCTCTTTTCTGAAAAGCCCACACATAGCTCTGTGGGACTACGTCCATATGCTAAAGGGTATTGGTAAGTGTTGTGTTTTGGGTTATCAGAAGCAAGCAACATGTTTGTGTGGAGAAGAAAGTTATGGCTGTCAAAACAGTAAAATTAATTGTCATAACTTTCCCTCATGTTATCTTGATGCTTTATAAACCTTGATGCCAGTGTAGTCTCTTCGCTCACCTTTGTGATGTGAAAATGTGTTAAAACTCGCATGTATTTGAACAGTGTTGGTTAATGGATCATGTGGCTGAGGTGCTGCAGCTATTTGGAGAGTCTGTGAAATCTACAGCACAGTATGTAAAAGTGAAATAGAGAAGAAGACATGCCGTTGCTGCCTTTGCTGGTCTTGCAATGTTTGCCCTCCTTTTCCCCGTCCACTGCTCATTGTTGTTCTCAGTTCTTCAGTAACCAACCAGTCCTTTGGCTTACCTAATTTTTATATTGTTTTAGGCTTCTTTTTTTCTTTCTTTCTTTTTTTTTTTTTGCTTGCTACGTTTTCTCTTTCATCTCTGTGTGCAAGGTAGCATGTGATTGGTATTTAATTTAGGTGCCTTTTATTTTCACATTTTCGTTATAGTTGGTCTCCTTTTAATCTGTGTCTGCCTACCCTCTGATCTGTGTTCTCATCATTAGGCTGTTCCTTTCACACAATGTTTACTAGTCTTTTTCTTTGTCGTTTCTTGTGTACTTTTTGTTTCTCATGCAGGCTCTGATATTTTCTTGTTTTAGGTTGTTTGCAGCATTCACTGTTGAATTAAAAATAAAAAAAAATCTTGCTCATGGCTTTGCATAACCAAACTTAAGAACAGCAAAACAGCAGTTCCGCCAGCCACAATCTTCCCCCTTGTGCAAAATATTTTCCTCTGTGACTGTTACCTGTTTACCTGTTTGCCATGACACTTTGTTACAATTTTTCATAAATGACAGGATTGTATGAACTAATTTTTGTGCTTTTAAAATAAATTATTTTTGCGGTTGTGGGGAAAACAGCCCATTGTTCCTCTCTGAAGTGGTCTCCACATATCCCCACTTGTGAAATGAAGTCCTTCTGTGCTGCTGAGTGAGCTGTGGGAGCTTCTGAGAAATGCAGTGCCACATGGACAGCTGAGCCCAAGTCCGGCTGACAGAGCCTTTCACAGATGATCTCTGTAGTTCCCAACTATCTCAATTGCTTTTTAGCTTCTGAATCATTCTGCTTGCAAAGAACTGTGCTCTGTGAGCACTGGATTTGTTCAGTTTTGCCAGCCTTCTTCATGTCACATTTATCAGTAGTAAACAATGTTATTGTTCAGATTGCTTGAGTAGATTTACAATGAACCTTGACTTAATTTCTGTGCCATTGGTTAGCTAGACTTCTGGAATGAGTCAGCCTCTAACTCTCTCTATACATTTCATAAACCAGAGAACTCCAAAATATGAGAAAGAGAGAATAAAAGAGATAGATAGACTTGAATCAGTGTATTTTATTTTTGCCTCCTGGAGTTTACATTCCTCCCTGAATATCCTGTTCTCCAGCACTGCTTGGCCTGGCGAAATTTCACCAGATCCCTGGGCAGAGGGGTTGTCTTTGAGACACTATGAGGGACTTTGTTTTTTCTGTCCTTAAGATGTTCTTCTATTCCTGCAGAGGGTCAGATATACCACTGTCCAGTCTGAAAACCATTATACTGGGGGAAGCGTAAGCCTTTTGCCCCTAACCATTTTTGTTTGGCTCCATTCACTGTCTGAGCTTATCCTGCTGCTGCGGAAACACTCTAATGTAGTGACCTCAATGCCTGTCCTTGGTACCTGGCCTCACTGGGAAGGGGTATGTGGCAGCTCCTGGCATATTTGTTCTGCTACTAGTTTGTTAGATGCTTGATATTATCTTCATACTAGCACGTATCTGTGTAAAGCTTCTTTTGGACACAGAGGTCTCACCAGGATATGATACTTGTGAAAACATATATTCTGTTTCCTCATGCCTGCAAGCACAAAGATAATAGAAATAAAAGTTTGGAGGTGGTTTCTATGCCAGACAGCTCACTGGTACTACTTCCCTCTCTCCCATGGAGATTTGTGTGTCATATGAGGTTAGGCATAAATGAGAATAAAGAGAAGCCATTTGGGATCACATTTGTGTTCATCCAGTGTCACCAGGGGATGCTCATGCAGTCCCAACAGGCACTGCTTTTCCAGGCAGTCTCCAAAGGTCATCAGCACCAGAAATGTGAATCATTCCACAGTACCCACAAATGAGAATATGCAGAGGTATCATGTTTATGGGTAAGTAGCTTCTCTTCCACTCTGATGCAATTTTAACTTTTCTAAGGGAAACAAAGTCAGAAATAGGGTTGATACTAAGATACAGCATTATTGATTTCAGTTTCATTGTCTCTGTTTTGAACCTGACAGAGCAAAATCTCTAACTTCTGACCCGAAATAGATCTAGTTTCTTCATCTGCGTACCTAAGTGTAATGTATTTTCATAGAAATAGGAATGACATAGATTTGAAAGATTTTTTTTTAATCATGAAATCTTTTCATATCTTTATTTAGCTACATTTTTAAAGTAGCAAAAATGAGATGACAGTGGTAGTTTTGAACTGGAGATAGTCACAATAAAACAATGATAGCTGAAACAGGTTGGAATAAAGTAGTTAGGAGTTAGTTTCATAGGTGTCTAAGGAGTATCTGATCATTTTGATAGAATGGGACAAAGATTAATTGGTAACACAGAAATATACTGAGATTAAAAATGTGACAGATGAAAATGTGTAGTGGGATGGAACAGGTTAGATCAACCTTTTATTGCTGTGAAAAACAAATACCATGTAGTTTAGTATGTAAGTAGACATCAGTAGAGGAGTGGTTCTATATGAGTGTTTCTACTGTAATCCTCATAGTTTCTACAGCTTCTCTACTGTGCAAGCATGCATCATGAGGGGTAGGAACATTACTACAGAAGTACTTGTGGTTTAGCCAGGATGTGGCATTTGTGAAACTAAGAAAAAGAAATCCAGCCCAGCTACACTAAAATCTTCCTCATACCACACTCTACTCTCAGCTGTAAAACTCCAGACTGTCCTTTTGCTGTTATCTGTCTCCTTCCTGTTGTACTACCAAAATGTTTTGATAAGATTTCCAGATACTGTGTTTTATAGTCTATTTTAGGGGAGCTGGCTATTTGAAGATGTAATTCTGGGCAGAAATAAGTAAGCCTATCTGAAAAATGGGAACTTTAGATGGCATAAGGTTGGTCAGTCCATGAAGGGTTATGAGCAGTGGCTTCATTATCCAGTGCTGTAGTATTGTTATGCATGTTATTGTTCTGAAATAAAAATACAAAACCCTCTAGTTAACCAAAATTAGTATTAAAAATAAATTCTTATTTGTATTATTGAAGTCAGATTATAAATCCTTATGGAAGAAAAAAAAAGCTTGTGAAGCCATGATACTGTCATGGAGGACTACTTCATTGGCTTGCAAAAGGTTGTGACTATTTTAAAAATATATGTAACTACAAGAGCATGTTCAATGTTCAAAAACAGATTAAAAGAAAAAATTACTTTGGATTTATAATGTTGGTTTTGAGTTTACACACATTCAGTCATTGTGGAAAGATTCTGTAGTTTGTGCCATTATTTTTGCTGTGTTAAAATACTTAAAATATGATTCTATTTGCATGATTTTTGAAACAGATGTGAGGTCTTCCTGCAGAGCAAATAGGCAGGTTTATAACTGCAAAGATTTCTCCCAAACCTTCTCTCTATGATTAGCCTTCCAAGTAACTAACCATCCTCCAAAAATCTCAGAGCCTAAGAAAGTGAAAAGTCATCTCTGAAAATGGTGCGTTACTTAGAAATAGAGTCCTAACATGACAATTAGGAGTTCAATTTCTGTGTCTGCTGTTAGATCTTGTGCAAGTTATTTGTTCTCTCTGTACCTCATTTTTTCCAGTCGAATGTCTTATTAACTTCGATAATGTCTGGATCATGTCTTACTTACATTTCTACCAATTGGAAATATATCTAGATCTAAAAAGTAGTTTGCTGTAAGTCTCTTGCAGTCTTCCTTTTTCCAGGTTGCTATTGCTGAATTCTTTACATGTTTCTATATTAAACAAAATTTTGAGTTCCTGCAGTAGTGTAGTAATACTTTGTGAAATAGATGGAATTTGCTACGTGAGTAAATTTGCTGAGTGTTTTAGAAATTCTGAGGAGGATAAAATTTTGTACAGTAAAAAAAAAAAAAAAAAAAAAATCACCCTCCCCATTTGGAAGACGAAGTTATTAAAAATATAACAAAACTAGCAACTAGTGCAGTGGATAAAAAACACTTTGGATCTAATAGGCTAAGAACTGGTGGCGAACATCTTGATTTATTAACTGGTAAGTAAATCAGATACTTTTTCCTTAACTTATAAGGAAACAAGAGTATCAGAGGAACAGAGCACAGTGTGTGCACCTATGGCTTTCCTTCTAAAAGTTAGCTTGACAAAGTGCATTAACTTAATTGCAGACAATTTCATTATTTGTC